CAGATGCCTGCTGGTTCTGTTGTGTCCTTGTAGGAGCTCCTGCTCTGAGTAGCCTGGAGGAGATCCATTCCTATAGCCTGCCTCCGGGAGTCTTTTCACAAGATTAAGAGCAGTCGTGAAAGAAAAGGGTAGAGACTCCGAGGAAGCCTGGAGGAATCCACAAGAATCACATATTTTTTGGCTCTAGATTTAAAGGTGCTTAAAACATCACTTTTGATATTATGAAATATATAAATTATATTTTAAGCATCTTTCTGAGTGGAGGAAAAGTCCAGAATGTGTTTACATATTCATTTTTTATTCAGTTATGTAATGCTTTTAATTGATCAGATAAATTTAAAGGGCCAAGAACAAGAATGATATGAAATAACAAATACTTAATGGCAATAATCAGTAAAAGGAAATTTGGGGATATATATCTATTTTTATTCATAGAAAATAAGCAATAACTTTGCAGATCATAGGCAAATTTTCTTCTTTTCCTTTCTTGATTGAGATCAAAATTCCTATATTTCATCATGTTTATACTAATTTTCTTTTTAAAATGTGAATGTTTGTTTTATTGAAATGTGGCTAAAAAGGACCTTAAATTGAATACAAAACCCCAAATATGAGTCTAAATACTTCTCATTGTCCAAATAAGGACTCCAAACATTGTTATTGAGCAGATGTCATTATTTTAAAAACTTAAACATAGCTCCACTTTTTAGTTTAGTGGCTGAACTTATTTGCTTAGTTATGCAAACGATGATTTATTACTGAATTATTATCATATTAATTTTAACTGCTTCACTGATATCTTACTATACACTAATATATTCTATGAACACTCACTATTGCTTTATTAATAACTTTAGTGTGATTTGTATAAAGGGCTTTAAGCTGTGAAAATACTCCATTGGATATGAATCTAGAATTGGCCTTTGAATTGAAAACTACTTCTTACAAATTTATTAGTCTTGTAAAAATGTTAAACTTTTCTCTTAGCAAACCACAATATTACATGGATTATAAATTTTTTTTTAATTTTAATGTTTCTAAAATAAGATGCAGTTTATGCCAAAACCGGTTTGGCTCAGTGGTAGAGCATCGATCTGTGGACTGAAAGGTCCTGGGTTCGATTCCGGTTAAGAGCATGTACCTTGGTTGCGGGCACATCCCTGGTAGGGGTGTGTGCAAGAGGCAGCTGGTCGATGTTACTCTCTCATCGACGTTTCTAGCTTTCTATCTTTCTCCCTTCCTCTCTGTAAAAAATCAATAAAATATTTTTAAAATAAAACAAAATAAGATGCAGTTTAGATTACAATGCTTCTTAGTGCTCATGCAACACAGTACACTATTGTTTTGGGGTATTAGCCAATACTTCAGTGACCAGAGAAGGAAGTGGAAGGCATCTAATATAAGCAATCAGGGCAGCTCTAAATTTCTCAAATCTGTTGATGACATCATTATCTACTCCATACACTTTTACTTAACTATAAAAAAACCAACAAAAATAACCCAAAATAATAAAAATGGGGCTGCTTTTGATAAAAGAGGGCAATATTTTTTATAACACTTTTTTTTTCCCTCCATAGGTCTTACGTTCCTGGGAGCTACTGAGAATATAACATCTGAGCTTGGATAAAATGGCCTTTGATCTGTCCTTTCCTTTTATTTGAAAGGCTCTCAAAGGAAATTATATAACAATAAACTTTCTCCCTGAACTTCTCTAAAACGCAATTCACTATAAAAAAAACACACACACAAAAAAACACACACACACAATTTAAGATATGCCATATGTGTCTTTGGTTCCATCCAAAAAGTTTAGTTCCTTCTTACAATGGCCTCACCCTTCAAGGACATGATTGAAGCATGAAAAGGTTGAAAACAGTTCCATTGAAGCATGGTTATAACATCTGAATTGCATTGGGTAGATTTGGGTGTAGGGACTCAGAAGTTATACTTTATAAACAGACTACTATGATAGTTCCTCCTTGTTCCATGTACATGTATTTTATTGTGCAATTCAATGTTTTTTGAAGACATATTGAATAAATTATAATTAGAGCTAACATATATTGATAAATTAATACATGCCTGGCACTAAGTGTTGAATTTTTATATAAAGCAAAGATATACTTCTTTAGTGTTAATGAAGGAATATTAAGTACTTTCAAAGGTAAGGATAATGAAAAACCTTAAGGTAATTCCTGTGTACAGAATCTAGAGATGAGAGGACTACAGAATTAACTATATTAAATAAACAAATTGGACACAATGTGGTCAATTGTTGCTGTAAATTTACTTTTAAAATTATTACTTAAGGTTGTTACATTTTACTTTATGTAAAATTATGTTCTTTAGGAAATATGTTGCACAATTTGGCACAAAAATCTATTGCCTCATGAAAAATTGATACATTTGCCAAGAGGTGGTGGAAAGGTAAGAATATAGATTACAGTGGTTACACATATGTACACATACAGGCTTACACAGATATTTTTCACTGTTCCACTATCTATTGCTGGTTAAGAAACTACTGTAAAATTTAGTGACATAAAACAACAGCCACCCTATATAATAAAAGCCTAATTTGCAAATCGACTAAAAGGTGGAACAACTGGTTGCTATGACAAGCACTGATCACCAGGGGGAAGATGCTCAATGCAGGAGCTGCCTCCATCCCACAGGCCCCACGCCAGCCAAGACAGGTGCTAGTGGGGGCCCACCCCCCTGATTACCCCACTGTTCTCCCCACAGATCAGCTCTGATTGCTGGCCTGGCCTAGAGACCCTTTGATGCATGGATTTTGTGCACCAGGCCTCTAGATTTATCATATTTCACTATTCTGAGGGTCAGGAGTTTGAGCAGGGCCCTCTGTGTAATTCTTTTGTCATGACATCCATGTGGTCACTGAGTGGTATTCAGCTGGTGGGTGGGCTGGGCTGGAGGATCCAATAAAAACTAGCAGGATTCAGCCAGGGATATTGGAAGGCAGGGTTCAGCGGGGATTAGTGACCAGAAGACATGCACAGTAGCCTTTCTGGCATGGCAGTCTCAAAGTAGTTGAACTTCTTACTTGGTAGCTCAGGGCTCACAGAGAGCATGTTTCAAGAAACCCCAGTGGAAGATGCAAGGTTCCTTATTGCTTAACCTTGAAAATTCTAGACATTCTATTTTTGAAAATCCTCATATTCTATTTTCAAAAGCAAGCCACTGAGGGCATCCTTGATTTCAGGAGAGGGGAATTCAACTCTACCTCTCAATGAGAGAAGGGCAAAGAATGTAAGGCCGCCTACTACACAAATCTAAACCAACTGATGGGGCACCTAGCACAGCAACAATCCCCAGACTTGCATTTACTTCTGCAATGTGTTCTGAGCCTTTGCCGATGGAAGATGAATTCAATTATCCAGATATGAGCAGTTAGATGCATGTATTCTACGGTTGCCCATTTCTTTTTCAATAAGCCACGATGACCCAAAAGTGTGTGTGTGTGTGTGTGTGTGTGTGTGTGTGTGTGTGTTGGTGTCTGTTGTTATTAATTTTAGAGGTTTTCCAAGTCAAGGATCATGCAAAATTAGAGCTGCAAGAGACACCAGAGATAAGTCTGTTTCTGTTTTATAGATAAGGAAATGTAGGTCTAAAGAAGCTATGTGACCTGACCCAGGTCAGAAGCTGATTAAGGACAGGGCCACAGCTGGGATTTCCTCTGCAATGCCTGAAGACAGGAAATCCTGAGTTACCTGCAAAGGGAGCAATCTTTTCCCTAGAAACAGCCCAGCCGGCCTTGATTCAGTTCCTTATTTTATCACGAAACATCAAAAAAGCAACTATGTATTTCAAGTGAGCCTATTTAATCTTGCATATCTAACCATACTCAACAAATGTTTACTCAGTGCCTACCAAGTTCCGCACATACAGATACAGCTGCTTGGAGAGGCTTTCCTTCTAGTTAGAAGGTCATTAATACAAAGTGTACAGTAGTCACTTTCCTCTGGACCACGTATTCAACCATGGTATTTTATCTTGGAGTACTTCTATAGTCTCCACTCTCCCCTTCACATACACAACAGACCAAGGGGCCAAGGATTTTGAGTTTTTCTGCTACTTCAAATGCATGTTTGGAGAGGATGTTAGTAAAAATGTCCACAGATTGAGGTGAAGGTCCAGTTTTTATTGCTCCTTCTCCCCCTCCCCCCTCCCGGAGACCTTTGCTCCTTAGGCGAAGTGACAGATAACTTTGACTTTATTTAGAGCGCAGGGACTCCAGGTATCTGCTCTAAATACAGTCTTCATAGCTTTGGATTTCCGTTTACATGGTACCTGTTCACCATTAGCTTTTGTCTTTTTATGCTGCGGCTAATGTATAATACTTTCTTCCTGGACCAGCAGGGAGAAGGGGAAGGGGTGTGGACACAGGGCTTGCTGAGGACTGTGACACCTCCTAGACACCGGGTCCACTCCAGCCCTCCCTCCCAGAGCTGGGGAGATCACTCCTCCCGCTCAGCAGGAGAGAACCCCAGGGCAGGGGTCCGGGCCAGGGAGTGGGAGTGGGGCTGAAGGTGGGAGAGGGAAAGGGAGGGTCAGGGAGGAAGGAGATGGCTAAGATGCTGACCCCATCCACCCCTGGGGACCTCCAAGGCCAAACCAAGGCAAGGCTGGGGCGGCTGCGGGAGGCAGAAGGGGAAGTGAAGTGGGTTCCAGGCGCCCTGGGTGGCGGCGCCCAGGCCGGAGCGGGCTGTTAGCCGCCCTGGCTCCGGGCGGGCCCCGGCTCCCGCGCAAGGGGAGGAGAAGGAACCAGATGGGCGGGTTCGAGCGTTGGCGTTGGCGGTCCCGGGGCGGCCGGCTCCTCCCCGCGAGTGTGGCTGTCTGCGCCGGCCGCGCCGGGGCAGTGCGGCGCCCGCCGCCCAGGATGCCGCCCCGCGCCCTCGCCGCGGCCGTGCCCCGGCCCTAGCGCCTGCCGCAGCCCAGCCCGCGCCCGCGCCCGCGCCGCGCCCGCCGCCGCCTCTTCAATGGGCAACCTGCTCGGCGGGGTCAGCTTCCGCGAGCCCACCACCGTGGAGGACTGCGACTCCACCTGGCAGACGGAGTCGGAGCCGGAGCCGGAGGAGTCGGAGCCCGAGGAGCCGGAGCCCGAGGAGCCGGGGCCGGGCGGCGGCGAGGGCCCGGGGCAGGAGCCCGAGCAGCCCGCGCAGCCCCCGGAGCCGGCCGGCGGGCGGCCCCGCGCCAGCCCCGCGCCGGACCAGGACGCCGCGGCGGCGGGCGCCGAGCAGGTACGCGGCCCCCGGCGGCTGCGGGCCGGGCCGGGCGCCCTGGCCCCGGGCGCCGGGAGGAAGGACCTGGCCGGCTGGCGAGAGGAGCGGGCGCCCGCCGAGCTGCCGCGCTGTGCCCGCGCGGAGGGCAGGGGCGCCGGCGGCTGCCCGTCCTTGGCGGCCGGACCCCCTCCGCGCTCCCGGCCGCCCCGCCGCCCCGGGACCGGGGGCCTGCGGGGGCCGGGGCGCCGATCGCAGCCCATCTGGGGCCTGATCGCGGGCACGGCCGGGAAGTCCTCCGGGCAGAACCCAACTTGAATGAGTGTTTTCGTTGCCTCTGCAGCGCAACTGGGGGATGCGAAGGTGGGGTGGGAGGACCCCGTCTAAAAATAGAGGCTCGTGGAAGCCGGTGTGGTGCGTGTTATTGGTGAAAATTACCCGGAATAAGGTGGGACCCGCAGCTGATCGGCGGCAGCGAGCGCTCTCCCCGCCGGGGCGTTTACAGCCAGGGAAAGTGTTGTAGAAGGTCCCCATCCCAAGTTAAAACCCACAAGTAAGGCCTTTCCACGGAGGCGTCAGGGCACTCTGCACAAATCTTATTTCACACAGAGGACTTGTTGATCCACCTGTGCTTAAATCATTTGCCTAAGACAATTTGGAGGAGAGGTTAGCAAAGAGATAAATATCCTTCGTACCCTCTGAGGCAACAGAAAATAATTCAGGAAACTTTAAAAAGGAGGAACTGTCTAGCCAAACCTCTGAGGAAGTGTGCGTCTTAGAGGCATTTGCTGTTTGCTCTGCATCGGGCCCTCTGTATCAGCGATGGGAAAATGAGCTTGAAAAAATGGAACCCAAAGAACCACAGGTTCTTTGCTCAAGTAGAGGAATGGCCCCCTCAGTACTACAGCTGAGGCTGCCTCAGACAGCTTGTTGATGATCTCTGTTTAGGTCAGGAGGGGAAAAAAAAGTCTTAGTGCAAGCTCTAGTTATTTTAATCAACTGCAATTTTGGGGGTGGGGTGGGAGTTGCTGGTTTTCATTCTCATTTTAGAGAAGACAGGTCTAGAAAGCAGCTTGCTGAGGATCATCCAGAGAGAAGAATGCATATCCAAATATATACATATATCGCCAATGTCAGAATCTTAACCTGTTGGAATTGTAACTACCCCTCTGCCCCTTGGTTCTGGTCTGCTGCTGGGTCATTTTGCATTGTGAATTCAACCCCAGGAAAGTACTACATGCTGTGTTCTATATTTCCCCCTTCCATTTGTCTCCCAATTAATTAACTGGCTAAAGAAGTTTGGGTTATCAAAACACACCAGCAGAGATTCAATCCAAAGATCAGGTCCATCAATAGAAACCAACTTGGTAATTAATGTTTCAATCAGTTAATTGCAACCCCAGTCAATGGTAGACCACACCAGCTTTCCCTTTTTTCCTTTAATGGTTGATTTTTCAAGTTGGTATCACCATCTAACTTCTAAAAAAAAAAAAAAAAAATCTCCTTTTTAATTTTGCTTTTTGACTATCAACCCCATTTGTTCCCTATTACACACACCGTGTTTTCCGGCGTATAAGACGACCCCCCAATTTTACAGTTAAAACATAGGCTTAGGCCTATATTCGCTGTATAAGACTACCCCCCTCTTCAAAGAAAAGACTTACTTTGCCGTCAAGATCTGTAGGTAATTTTTGTGCAATTTTGGTCTTTTGCCCCCGATTTTCAGTTGACTTTTTTTCCTGTTCAAAAGTCGTCTTATACACCGGAAAACACGGGCTGTCAATTCATTTGCAAGTACTACTGGCGCTCCCTTTAAAGTATCTTTCAGACTGACGATTTTTGCCACTTCCTTGTCTAAGTTAATACTTGACAAGTGATGGTGCCATTAACTCAGATGGGAAAGTCTAGGGAGAAAGCAACTTCAGAGGTTAAATCAATAATTCTCTTGAGTTCGATACCCTATGAGACATCCAAGTTGAGTAGTTAATTATATCGGTGAATGCAACCCCAGTCCTAGAGTCCCCAGCATATATGACTGGTGGTATTTAAAGTCATGGGAAGATACTGGTCATCAAGGAGTGATACAGAATGAGGACTAAGCCTTGGATACTTCACTGCGAAAATTTAGAGCTCTAGAAGATGAAAAGGAGCCAAAGAGGGAACAGTTTGGTCTGAAGAAAACCTCCAGAGGTGTGGGACCTGACAGTGTTTCAGGAAGGAGGGATCTCCCAATGCTGCTGGGAGGTCCCCTGAATTGAGCACTGAGAAATCATTTGGTAAGATGGGATTTGTTAGCCACATTCACAGGTGCTGTTTGGATGAGGATGAAAGCCTGGCTGGGGTAGGTCCTGGGAGAAGTGGAGGAGGCAGGGAGAAAGAACAGCTCTGTGATGATGTTTTACTATCATAGTGAGCAGAGCTATGGATCTGTGGTAATCAAAGAGGATTTGGGGCAAGGAAGGTTGTGTTTATTTAAGGTTAGAGATGCTACAGCATGTTTGATGAGGGGAATGAGCCAGAAAAGAGGGAAATTTGATGATGCAGGAACTAGGAACAACATCCTTGCCGGAGCAGGTGAAAAGGGCTGGGATAGAGAGTGCAAAAGGTGCAGAAGTTGGAGGAGCAGGGATGGATGCTGGCAGGCTGGTACGTTCAGAAGTTGAAGGCGGCAGTGGTGCTCATGATAATTCTGGGCATTAGGACATGAGTCATTACCTTCATTTCACAGCTAATAAAACTAAGATTCAGTAAAGTGATTTGCTTAAGGCCTAACAAATAAGTAGCAGAGTTGAGACTCAGCCCCAGTCTCCTGCTTCTAAGTCTTGGGCTGCCGACATTATACCAAAGTGTCTGAAATGACCTTTCACTTTCAGTGGAGCTGGAATTGATTTGTACCTAACTAGTTGGACTGGGAGCCCAGAGCATGGGATCTAGTTCCTTTGCTGTCATTAGTCTCTGGGTCTTGTTCAGTTTCTCTAAGTCTAGGTTACCTTGTTTCTAAGGTGGAAACACAACTGCCAGCCAGGTGCATTAGAAGAATCAGATGAAATAAAATACACGTAAGCACTTTGTAAATGGAAAAGTGCTTTCTATACAAATGTAGGATGATGATTCATATGGTTGTAGCTGAGGCTAAATAGATTCAGAAACTTGCTAGGCAGAGCTCTTTTGAAACATGTGGCAAGAACCAGAATTTAAGCTTTTCCTTGCTTATGTAACATGGCAGAGTAGCTAATGTTAAACACCAGAGAATGTGGTGGTAAAGTGTCCCTGTACTTGTAGTAATAGTGAGAATCACACCACGTCAAAAACATGCAAAAATTGCTTTGACAGAGCCAATCTATCAACACAGGTGGGGGCAGGAGATGATGAGAAAAGGATTGGGGGAAAAGCTGTTAATGAATGTTGAGATTTAAACTTTGTCTTCTATTTCATAATTGTCATCAGTCTCGTTCTTCTGAAGGATATGGATATGAAGAACTTTATTACATATTATAGTACTGCATTTAGCTTACACATGAGTTGTAAATAAATTACATTGACCTATATCTTATATTTTAAAACTTATTTAATGGTGGGAATTTTCCTTAAAGTATAAATAGCACGAGTTAACTTCAGACTTGCTATATGTAAGTCATTACAGTCTGAAGCTCATTGAGAACTTTTAATTTCTTTGTGTATATATTTTAAGTTTGTTAACTTACATTGCATTGTAATATCACTGAATTAACACATTACTGTTGGTTTTATGTATGTATTATGGTGCTATGAAGGATAGAATTTAGAAAGCTATTTAGTTTATTTTAAAAGCCTCTTTTTCTTACATAAATATTACTTGATTTCCAAAAGCAGCTAAATATTGCAAAAGTAATGCCAATTTTCCATGTAGAATTGACTTACTATCTTAACATGTTTTTTTTCAATGTTACGTACAGTATACTAAAATAAGTTTTGTTATAGAATCAGTTGTATAACCTATGATAAAGTATATGTCTTAAATTCATTTTGAATTCTATTCTGATGGATATTTATCCATAACATTTAGCCTCTGTATACTTTTAGTGAATAATAAAGGTTTTAATTTAGTAAAACACCTTAGGACAAATGTTATTATGTTCAAATCAGAAAGACAGAATGCCAGCAAATGTTGTATTATTAAAAGGACTTTTATAATGTTTTCAGTTATCTGGACAGCTTGACACTCTTTAGGCTTTCTTTATTGGATGGTCATTGTTTCAAGTTTGTTCTGGAAATTTCTCAATGAAGTTTTCTTGCTTTAACGTGTGAATGGAATTTCACTTTTTATTTTAGGGAGCTGATTCCACTGAAGCAACTGCCAAACCAAAGAGAAGTTTTTACGCTGCAAGGGATTTGTACAAATACAGACACCAGTACCCAGTAAGATAACAGAAATTTTTTTCTAAAAGGAATGTAAAATATTTCCCTTCTGTTTTTCTTATTTTGTGGTGCCAGTGAACAAACATTTAAAAATGGTCATTGTGTTTTTTTAAATATGTGCATATGCTAGAGATTGATTTATTTTTTCCTTTAGCAGAACGTCAAAGATATCCGGTATCAAAATGACTTGAGCAATCTTCGCTTTTATAAGAATAAAATTCCATTTAAGCCAGATGGTGAGTGATCTGCTACTTTGGTAAGAAGCAAAATCGAAATAAAAAGTGTACCTAGTTATTCTTTGCTTATTCCATGGTCAGTACATTCTCAATGCATGTGTTCATTACTGGGTTCACTTCACTGTACAGTCTGAGTCCCCAAAGTCCTAGACCCTCAAGTTGAGAGCATCCACTTGGCAAATTCTAGAGGAATCACTGTGGATTAGCAATACCTTCTGTTTACAGTGGCTTTTATCTGACAAGTAGTGGAAGCCTTTGTTGTGAGTGGAAAGGAGAGGACATTTTTAAAACCATAAAAAATTAGGTGATTAGGGAACCTTTGAGCTAAATTCAGCTTCCTCATTTTAAATGTAAGGTGACTAGGTCTTAAATCTTGAATGACACTTTACATGTAAGGTCACTAGGTCTTAAATCCACTATATATACATTTATTAGGTCTTAAATAAATATTTACTAGGTTTGTACATTGAAGAGTTACTCATGTAGATGGCCAAATGGGAAGACACCTGGATATTCTTTAGATTGTTGCTGACTGGGCCTGGGATATTGGGGGAGTCATGTCAGTTGCACTCCCGCCCTGGGATTGCGGAGATGTTCTTAGTTCCTGGCTTGTGTTTGTCCAGGAGGAAGGAGTGGGTAGGACCTGGGCCCTCCCAGGCTCCTTGTTTTCCTGTGAAACGCCCTTGGTGGGTTGGAGAATAAATAGATGTGCTGCGTGGCTCAGGTCTTTGTCGTCATCTGTCTCTCCAGCATAGGAGGTCGGCGGCCCTCCCAGCTCCCAGTTTAAAATCTATCTCTGTGTCTTCTCTCTTTATTTCTATTATTTTCAATCCCTGGCCACCTCCACTTAGAACCGGTTCCTTCATCTCTCTTTCTATGCGGGACGTGGAAAGGGTGGATCCCTGACACACCAGGTCTCCACATACTCAGTTGTAAGAGTTGGGTCTGGATTCCAGGGTTCAGTATTCTTTTCACTATGCCATATATGAAAATTTAGAACGTAATTGAAAAGCGATGTTTATATTAGAATGATCTTTCCTGTAGACTTCCAGATTCAGGAGTCACGGAGCCATAACAGTCCTAGTTCAGTGTTCCAATATCCTGCCTGGGAAGAGTAGGTCTCCACTCAGCTCTGCAAATAAACTAGCCTCCTTCTTCACAACTCCATAGTTGCCCTCATAGGGTCTTTTCTAAAGGGATCCTCCTAAGAGGATGCAGCCACAATGGTAATATGCATATTTCATGAGGCACCATGCTATGATTCATGGTGGGCTCCTAATTTTATTCAGCTCAAACCAGCAAAGCTGGCTTCTCTCCTTTGAACCCTTATCTCTGTGAGGAGACCAAATGGCTCTGGCTCTTGCCCTTTGTTCTCAGTGAAAACTGAGCCAAAACCACATCAATGTGAGTCAGGAATGAAGATCATGGATTGTAAAACTTCCCAATGGAGAGCCTTATCTTCTTTGGTGAACTAACTGGGGGAAGGATATCTTAAGCCTGGGGGGAGTGTTTGGAGGAGGAACTCCCTGTACTGTGCACTGAGAAACACACCAGTTGGGTATTAGGACTAAGAATTGCTGAAAGGCTAGAATCACTTTAATTAATTTTCTGGTGTCTCAAAAGTCTGCTCTGATTTGGAAAGAAACTGGATAAAAATGCTCTGTTGTATTTACTAATTATAAAAACACACTGCTTTATTTATTAATTGAAATAATATTAATCTATTAGTATTTTTAAAATATATATTTTTATTGATTTCAGAGAGGAAGGGAGAAGGAGAGAGAAAGGTAGAAACATCGATGATGAGAGGGAATCATTGATTGCCTCCTGCACAAATCCCTGCAACCCGGGTATGTGTACTGACTGGGAATGGAACGGTGACCTCCTGGTTCATAGGTGACATTGGCTGGGAAAACTATTAGTTTTTTTTTTTTTTAAGGTGTTGGGGCAAGATAATTTTTTGAAGAAATGAAATGACAAATTATTAACTTGACTCTGACATGAATTTAATAAAATTTATCTATGTTCAATGTTTTAAATATTGAAAACATTGAACATAGGCCTAGCTGGAGTGGCTCAGTTGGTTGAACATCGGCTCATGCACTGAAAGGTTGCTGGTTCCATTTCTAGTCAATACATACCTGGGTTGCAGGTTTGTTCCCGTCAGGGCACTTACAACTGATGGATGCTTCTCTCTCACACACTCTCTCTCTTTCTCTCTCTTACTCTTCCTAAGCATATCCTTGAGTGAGGATTAAACAAAACAAAACAAAAAAATATTGAATACAGAAATATGACAGTATTTAACTGAATTATTTTAATATTTCTAATAAATTTATTTTGGAGATTGTAATTTAAAACAATAAGTAATGCACTTATTTTTTGTAATCTTTATCAAAAAAAGTATTTTGAAATCTTAAAAGATAGGTCGGAGTCAGAAATTTTAGCTAAGATCACATAAAATGTTATTCTATTTTATTATATAAATTATCTCGACTCATGTACTTTCCTCTCTTAGTATGTGTACACACACACACAAACACAATTGAAAAGTGATTATATACACTCTTGACAGTAAGCATAAGCCTGCAAGAATGTATTTTACTTATTAAAAAGGAGGAGGGGCAGTTAGAAGGGAAAACAAATGGGAAGCTATGGAAGTAGATGGTTTCAACACGATAAAGCCAATAGTATGATTCAAAAGTAACATTTTACCAAACCTTTTGAGAGTGGCCCTCTACTAAAAACTAATGATTTCTAGAGGAAACAAAAATAAGTTATGTTTAGAAAATTTTACATTGTTAATTTTTCTATAAAATTGACTAAATGGCCAGTTAGTCTACTGAAAGGACCTTGACAGATTTAATCAGGAGGATTTTGTTCTAATTCGTTATTGAAGTTCCTATGGGGAACTATAGAATGTGACAAAGAAGACTTACTTTTTGAAACAAGAAAGACCTGTGTTCTATTTCTACGTTTATTCTTTTATTAGTGTGTGACTTTGAGTAAATCACACACTTTCCACATTAGTAAAATGGAGATGATAATACTGATTTGGGAGAGTTTTGCAAAGATTAAGGAAGATGAAGTATACTAGATATAATACGGGCCCAACATATGGTAGGTACTCAACACCTTTTTCTTTTATCTTTCAATTATTTTGTTAAGCCTCACCAGAGGACATTTTTTCCATTTATTTTTAGAGAAGGTGGAAGGGAGAAGGGAGGGAGGAAGGGAAGGAAGAGAGAGAGAGAGAGACAGACACAGAGACACAGACACACAGAGAGACATGGATTGGTTGGCTCCAGCAAGCGCCTCCACCAGGGCTGGGGATTGAACCTGCAACCCAGAGAGCAGACCAGTACTCTAACCACTTAGATATACTGGCCATAGCTCAACACCTTTTTCTTTTAATATGTTTTTATTGATTTTAGAGAAGAGAGAGGGAGAGAGAAACATCGATGTGAGAAAGATTGATCAGTTGCACCCCATAAACCTGATTATCTGCCCTGATCCCAAATTGAACTTGTGACCTTTTAGTGTAGGTGACGATGCTCCAACCAACTCAGCCACACCAGGGCTTTCTTTCATTTTTTTATTTCTCCTTTTCTTTGCTTCTCTCCATCTCTTTCTCTTCCTCCTTTTTTTTCTTTCTTTTTCCCTGGCATTCATCTCAATTTGATCCTATCTAATATTGAAAGACCTATATGACCCTTTAGGGCAGGGATTGGTAAATATTTTCTGTACAGGGCCAGATAGTAAATATTTTCAGCTTTTTGGGCCATATGGTCTCTGTTGCGACTATTAAACTCCATTGTTCTGGTGTAAAATACATAAATGAATGTTATTCATTTGTGCATGGCTGTGTTCCAATAAAACTGTTTACAAAACAGATGTCAGACCATTGTTTGCCAACTCTTCTGTAGAGTAATGCTGTTCAATAGAACTTCCTGCAATTTGAGGTACCACTTTTTAAAAAAATTAGGCCCATTATGTAACTCGGTGTATGGCATAGGGAATTCATTTTTTAAAAGCTATATTCTTGTGGGCTGTTATTAATATTTAAAAATGTCTAATATAAAGCTTAAGTGATTAAACTTTAAAATGCCTTCACCAGTGTTTACAGTGTCTGGTTCACTTTCTGCATATTTACTGTTCAGGTGTGTACATTGAAGAGGTTCTCAGTAAGTGGAAAGGAGATTATGAGAAGCTGGAGCACAATCACACTTACATCCAATGGTCAGTTTCATCTCCTCTGTCTTGAGCCAAGCCCTATTTAACCATGCATGTTTTTTGGACAACATTAATATACAAACATTATTTTTCTGAAAAATAGGCTTTTCCCCCTGAGAGAACAAGGCTTGAACTTTTATGCTAAAGAGCTAACTACATATGAAATTGAGGTAATGCAAGATCATTTTATTTTACATGAGATGGCCAAGTAATATTGCTACTTTATTGACCTGGTAATTACTGAATCATTTCAGCTGACTTTTTCTTTTCATTAGGAATTCAAAAAAACAAAAGAAGCAATTAGAAGATTTCTCCTGGCTTATAAAATGATGTTGGAATTTTTTGGAATAAAGCTGATTGATAAAACGGGGAATGTTGCTCGGGCTGTTAACTGGCAGGAAAGGTTCCAGCACCTGAATGAGTAAGTGAAGGCCCTGCTGAACATCAGAGCCAGCATGCTGCTTTCCTTCCCTTGGTTGGAATTCTCCGTGGAACCCAGGAATTCCCAGAGGGACAGCGAGCAGATGTTTGAATTCAAAAGCTGGTCTGAAATGCATTTTACTTCCTGTTCTATATTCTAAAACAAAACAAAACAACAAAATTCCAAGTAGAAATATGGCTGTTCAGCATCAGAGATGTTTATTCCTGAAATGGCTCCACTGCCCACAGCCTCCTTCCCTTTTTGTCACTGATTTCTTGTCATTTATGGCTACTGTTTGTATGGTTTTCTGAATCCCCTCTACAAGGTTGTGAGCTTCACGGGGCACAGTCTGTTCCTCAAGCTTAGCGCCTTCTTGGATTAAATCCAAGGCCTATGACACAAAAATCGTTTTATAAGACAGATAGTCTCATATGCAAAAAAAAAAAAAAAAAAAAATCAAAGAGGAAAATTAAAATCTTTTCTGTTTAGGTAAAAAACCAAAGGCCACTTTGGGTTCCTGAATTTCAAACCCTTTGAAGGAAATTTTAACAGTTTATTTGGAATTGATTTGCTATATTCTTTTGCTTAGATATTTGTAACTTGCATTAATACTTTTACCTAAAGTTTATTTTGCTTAATATTTTTTACATGCAAATAAAATGTAAAATTTTTCCTTTTTAATTATAGGGTGGCTTATGAGTGCTAGACTATAAAACCAACAGCTTGAAAGCATTTGTTTAGCATATTATAATTAACTGATCTGGACAGGTACCCAGAGAAAAAAATAATTGAAACTGCCTAAGAAATATTTTTTGTCCAAAACAAATCAGAATTTTGTGCAACAATTAACTAAAATTATTGTATCTTTCTAGAACGTTCATCTCATTTTACTAAAATAACTATTAATGTTTAAGCCTTCCTTTTACTTTATTTATTTATTTGTTTTAAAGAAATAGGAAGAGAGGGAGGGAGTGAAAGAGAGAGAGAGAGACATCAATTTATTATTTCACTTATTTATACATTAATTATTTGATTCTTATATGTGCCTTGACTGGGGATTGAACCTTGGAGTATAGGAACAGCACTCTAACCAACTAAACTACCCAATCAGGGCTCTTTTACTGTTTTCAGTTATAGTCAACCCTATTAAAATGGTGACTTGCACTAAAATACTGAAGGGCATAAAGCTTTATGATCCTGATTAGAAGATCCATTCACTCAAAACTGAAGTTAAATTTGACTTAGGACATTTAAGCAGAAGTATGTAAGTCTCTGCCTAAGCAATGCTGGTAGCTATTTCTAGACAGAGTTTCTAAGCTCTTATGTAATACTGTCAAAGAAAGCTATATGCATGTAGCCTTTTGACAGGAAGAATGGCGGAAGTAAATCTTTGGAGAGGACGGATAGTATCTTCATCTTTCATGTACTCGTGTTTATCGTTTTAGAGAATCTCTGCCTCCAATTTGTTTTTGGTTGGAATAGCAATCTTGCTTAGCAAATGTTTGTTGAATGAATAAATGATGAACAACATATGTTTGTCAGCTTAAATCCTCCTGGGTTATATTGTCAGACCTCTAATTGATAGTTGGAAACAGAGCCCTTCTGAAGGTTTTAGTTAAATGATTTCCTGGGGTGAGTCAGGAGAGGGGAGCCTGAACTGGCTGCTATGTGCCCCCTTCCCCCTCACCCGTTGCCCCATTCCTCCATGTAGCTTGCTTACTTTCCACCACCCATTGTCTCTTTTTCTTTTCCCCTGGCGATTGCACAGAGCTTTTCTAGCTGTGAGTGAATTGCCTTAAAATCTTCCAGAAAACAACTTTCCTTTGAGGTTTAGTTGCTAAAAATTTATATTGACTAGATTTGAACAAATTACAAGGGACTTTAGGAAGACTTCTATGTCATTTTTTTTTCTTCAGTTGGCTTCTTTTCTGATTTATCTTCAAATGCCATAACTTACTTGTGTTTTAACCTATATGACATCTTGAGTTTTTTAGAGTAGACAGGGAACTCAATATTTATTTATAGGAGCCCAGCTGAAAAAAATATTGAATGAGGTGAAATGAAATAATGTTCAGTGAACAAGTGGCCATCGCTAGAAGAGGTGAAATATTTTCAAACATGACAGTGCAGATATATAAACCAATCACTAAGATGTATTTCCAATTTTATTTGTAATCACCTTAGATGACTGAGTCATATTTTAGACTCTGGAATCTCCTTTAACTTCTATTTTCTGTTTCCTAATTCTTGCCTTTTGTGCATTCTCTCTTCACCTGCTTGGTCTTCCTGAAGAAGTCCTTACCTCTGTCTAGAAGCCCGGCCTCTCTTGTTTATCAGCTGTATAACCCCAAAGACTCTCACAGTATTAGGATTTTAGCTACTTTTCTTTCTTCCGTTTTGTCTTTGTTTGTGACATTTATTTCAAATCATATTGAAACACCTAATTTCTTTCTTATATAATTTTGTCCCATCATCCTGATCTTTATTCTCTTCAACCTAAGTTTTTGTACTTTTCTACTGTTACATAAATATTTTTAATTGGAGAGTGTGTAGCTATAAATGTATACAGAAAATTTATTTTAGCCATTCATCTTGGACCAGATATATGAAATTGAGCTATCTGCAAATATAGTAAATTTTGTTATGTCATATAACTCATTAGGATTTTAAAAAATATTCTTTCACTTTCCCATACTTCTCTTTATTGTAGACATATGAGGCAGATATTGCTCAAGAGTTTTGTTGCTAAGTTTTTAGATTATACAGAATCTATATTAGCCTAACAACTAAGTCAATTGTGCCACTAATGGGACTTTATCCTAACTTCACCCAAATTTATACTGTCCTTAAATACTTTTACTTCCTATTAAAAAGTACAGATTCATAAGGCTGAAACATGCTTTACCTTTTGCCTTTAAAGAGTTGAATGTTAAGATAATACTTTTTTGGTAAACAACCATAAGGATGGTGACAATGAGAACTGCTCAATTTATCTTTTCCAGTGTTGTTGGTTCAAATCCTTAAGACTGTTGTTTTGTCCAAACAAACTCTCTTATCAAACTCTGAGACCATGGAACCATTCTCTTGTTTCCTTCAAATAATTCATTGACATCCTTTTCCATTCTTCCCAAATAGTTTGCTAGTTATTCCTAAGTGAAATCCTCCAAGCATGCTTGGAAGTCAGGACAGGCATATGCAATGCTTGTAACAAGAAGTTTCTGAGGTATAAAATAGGTTTTAGGAAGTTAAAAGTAAGTGACAGTATGGTTATATTGCAATATTGTGTAAACAAATATCTGGGCTGTTGATGACAATACATGATTAATATATGTAGCTGGAGATTCCTTTTGGATGCAGCCAGGCATGTGCAATAAGGCAACTATTGGGCTGAGTGAAGTGGGGGAGGAAGATTATAAATTGTGACAAAACAGAATTGGGAAGCTTTCATCTGATAATGGCCTTAGTATAGGGACAGGAGAATGATGCTAGTGCTATCTGGGGGAAAGGGCATCTTTGGAATCAATGTCATTGGAAGGAAAATTTAAAATTCTTTGATAAAGAGGAGAGAGGCCTAGCATGGAATTGAGTCACTAAGTTGGGGTAGATACAAATATGGTAGCTCTTAATATCAGATACTTAAATAATAACAATATTATTAAATAGCACATATTATTTATTGAGTTCTACATGGCTTGCATATTTATCAACTGAATTGATTGTTGCAAGAGTCCAGTGAAGTCCAGCAAATGAGTATACGAGCCTTAGCGAGCCATCGTCATTTCTTGTAGCTGTACGGGTTCTGTTAAATTAGTCAGTGTTGCATCTTTTGTTGGAGTTGTTCTAGCAGGATAAAGTGTTTTTTGCATCTTTCCTCATGAGCTGGCTAATATGGTAGATTTTGCTGACCAGTTTACACTACAAATCATACTACTCAGTTAATAGCTAATATTGTGTTTCAGCACTGGTGACAGGTACAGTACATTGCTGTTGCAAATAAATACTCTTAATAGATCACTTATCCTCAGTGTATTTAAGAAACAATAATTCAACATCAGTGGAAATAAATTTTAATGTAAATATTTTTTTCAAATTTGAAGAACCTAAGAAATAAGGAGAATGTATATTATACGTTTGAGTTTCATATGATTGACATTGCATTGAGTTATAAGGGTTTCATACCTTCAAATTTGTTTTTCTTAATAGTGTCTCTACAAGTCATTACAAGGCTTATTTCTATAAACAAAACAAAAAAATTTTCCCAGTAGTTTTTATTTCCCTGCTTTCCTCCACCTGATTTTCTCACCCCCTCATTTTATTCAATCCTCTCTTTTAGGTCCCAGCACAACTATTTAAGAATCACCCGTATTCTTAAAAGCCTTGGCGAGCTTGGATATGAAAGTTTTAAGCCTCCTCTTGTAAAATTTATTCTTCACGAAGCTCTTGTGGAAAATACCATTCCCAATATTAAACAGAGCGCGCTGGAGTACTTTGTTTATACCATTAAAGACAGGAGGGAAAGGAGGAAGCTCCTACGTTTCGCCCAGAAACATTACACGCCTTCAGAGAATTTTATCTGGGGACCCCCTCGGAAAGAAGACGCAGGAGGCGGCAAAGCCCAGAAAATGCCTGCCCCTCCCGCCTCCAGTCCTAACAGTCAAACTTCTATGCACAAAAAATCGAAAGACTCCAAAACTTCCTCCTCAGCAGCTCCTGTAAATAGCAAAGCAGCTGAAGAAAACATAGCGGCGCCTAAAGAGCCTGAGGAAGTCGCAGACAGGCCCTGCACAGAGCCCAGCAGCGAAGCCGCCAGGCCGGGGGACGCAGAGGATGGGAACGCTGAAAGTCCAAATTCTCAACCAGAAGAAGCAACGAGTAATCCCACAGAGAAAACAGAGAGTGCATCTCCTCCCGAAAAAGATGAAGAAGGTGCAAGTCATAGCAAAGACTGTGAAAGTCCTGGAAATACAGCTTCCCAGGATGAGGTACTGATTCAGTGAATTCACAGAAACCCACATACCAGTGTAGGGAGAGGAGGCGGAAACTGCTGTACAGTTTATCCGAAAGAACAGAGGTCACAGTTCAAATTTGAGCCATCTGTTTGTGATTTATGTTGTAAGCATTTTGTTGGGTGTGTTTTTGTTTTGTTTGTTTTTTTTCTGGATGATATTAAGTTTAATAAAATGTGTAAGACAAGACCCAGTAAATGAATGTATTCGGTAACACTTTTAGGATGTGAGTTTACAAATTCTGGTATACAATAATTACTTTATAATTATTTTCATGTATCTGCAAATACTGATGCAGTACTTGGGATGTCAAATATATTATTTTGAGAGGGTACAGGCTACCTAAAGAAAACCAAGAGGATAATTTCATTATGCTGCCACACCTTTGCCTGTTTTATGGATTCCTTTGTGTGGTTATTATTTTTTTTTCTAAGCTGGGAAAATCTAGAAGTAATTTGGATTTTTAATTAGAAAATAACTTGGATTGTTTTCATTATAATACCTCAGCATGTCTATTTTAGATGAAGTGGATGCTCTTGGGGAGCTGTAACCCCCTCACCCCCCATTTGTCAATCTTGCTCCTGTCTTTCCCTCTTCCCCTCTCTGCACCCCCCGCACCCCCATTTTGCCAGGCAGCACCTCTGTTTCTGGTGCACATTTGGATATACTCCTATAGTGAAACTTCAATGGAGCAGAGTGGGACTTGCAACTGTATGATTTCAATAATTTGCTTTGCTTGAAATAATAAAAAAAATTTTTGTATTAAGTGCTTAAACTTTTTTTTTTTTTTTTTGATGCAGAAGTCCAAGAAAAGAATTTTGCCTTCTTTGGCTGTTTCATATAAATTTGGTGCTCTATTTCTGAATATAAATAAGAAAGGAATTTAAAAATAAGAAAGAAAATTATTTTTAAAAGGCACTGGCAACAAGGCAGTGGTTCCTAAAACCATGAATATCTCAGTGTTATGAGGATTACAAAATTAAAACTATTGCTTAGTTGTAGTGTATTATTTATTTATTTATTTATTTATGTATTTATTTAAATCCTAATCCAAGGAGAGGAATAAGAGTGCGAGCTATTGATGTGAGAGAAAAACATCGAGCTCACAACCCTAGGTATATGCCCTGACAAAGAATTGAACAGGCAACCTTTAGGTACACAGGAGACGCTCAGCCAACTGAGCCACTCCAGCCGGGCACATATCTTTTTTAAAAAGTATTACAATTTGATGCATCTCTAAGTTGTCGAACCTTAAAATTGAGAACTGATTTGAAATTCCATATACTCAGTTTTAGTAAGGACTTAATGTGTTAATATTGGTTAAGAAAAAATAATGGTACTTCTTATAATATTTTAACATTATTATTACATATCAGGAAAAATCATCAACACTGTGGTAAGAAGGTCAAAATATGCATACAGATATAGTGAAAGCAATGAATAGAAAAAAATTCTCATTTTATTTTATTTAGAAAGAAATTAATATGATTTTATTGTTTTGAAGTTTACATGAAACATCACAGTTGCTCAATCTTGACTTTGTTTATATGAATATTAGTAACACTCGTGTTGTATACCATATCCTAATAAATATAGAACAGTTATGATTTTTGGTTCCCAAAATATGCCAATTTTTGCTTATGTTTTTGAGAAGTGATTTTTAGGATTTGAGGAAACAATTCTTTTATATTTCAATTTCTTTCTTACATGAACCCTCTGAAGGTGGTGTTTGTTGAAGCAATGTCTCCATAGAGTTCAGTAATCAATTTTGTAGGGCTAGCAGGTGAGAATAGCTTGTCATGTTGGGCTGAATTATAGGAATACAATTAATTAAATTAAAAATACTTTATCAATTTGACACGCAAAATAAAGTCTTCAGACTGTTTTCTAAGTGCATAATGTTAAGAACTTGTGACAAGATATTAAGATAGTAAATAGTGGACAGATACTAAAATAAATGGGTATCATCTAAATTATTTAGAAACTATGTAGTATGTCAGAACTCTTAGATATAAAACATTCAATAATTCAACTTTCAGAATATAATTCCTAATTAGGAGTTAATTTAATATGTGCCATTTAATTTGAGAACACCTTGTCTCAAAGGAAAAACTACCTAGCTTCCATTGAAACCATATTTTATTTTAAATGCATATTCACATGTAACAGTATGATTCCTACATTTAATCTGTGAGTAACTTATGAAAGAGTTATTCATTGGAGAATAATGGAGAGAGATTGTTTATTTTGCAGATAAAAATTATGAGTGTCTAGACCTTTTTTCTACTAAGAATAATACTTTCACATTTTATAATTTTTAAAAAAGAGCTATAGATGTGTATTTGTGTGTATTACATATGAAACAACCCTTTGGGTTTGACTTATGTTTTGTATCTTTAAAAAGTACCATGTAATCACAAATTTACTGAGAAGCTGTTATGAAAATGCAGTGAAGCATGGCCAAAAAGCTAGAAAAATTATTGAATTTTTTCAAATATATAGACTTTATTGTTGTACCTTGGACTATAAGAATACTAAATATTGGCTATTGATAAAATATTAACTTGCATTTCACGGCAAATCGATGTTATACTGCTTGATTAGTCCAGTGCATTTATAATATTTTGTGCTTTTATATCTCTAAGGAGATGATATATGTGAAAATACTTTGAAATATTGTAAAGTTATAAGGTATATGTCAGTACAGTAAAGGTTTATAACATTACGAACATTGTGCCCTTATATATTTTCATGCTCGATCTTATAAGAAATTCAAAAGAATAACAATAAAAGTGAAACTATGTCTGCTTTGTCTAAATCAGGTCTAGTTCTCAGTTCAAAAAATACTCTATAGTTTTATTTTAAATTTAGACTACTTTTGAAGATTTAACGAGAAAATAAAACAACTCAGGAGTTATTAGAGAAGTTCTAAGATTTTTTTTTTTTTTTTGCTTAGTATTAAAAATATGAAAATGCTGTATGTAGCACCTGTCACAGTGATTATGTTACTATTTTGTGGTATACTGGTACAGTAACCAACTTTACTTTTAGCTTTTATACTTTTATCTGAGTGAAAGTATCTGGTGAAAAAGGAAAAACAGTCTAGTTTTACATGTGAGTTACTCTTCAAAAATCATTTTAGTAAGTAAACCTCCACATCAAGTGGTTAAAAGTGGGTTGTACTGATGGGTAGAGAATATTTGCTAATTGTTTAAAGTTAAATTTCTGAAGTTTGTAGTAGAGTGATGGCTGAGTTTATAATCAATCTACTGAGTAATTAAATCAAGAATGTTTTTTGTCTTTTAGAGTTGAGGCTCTTCCAACCTGAGAAAGGGGGGCATCTGTAATCCTGCTGGACTGGGGTTGGCATCAGTGGGCCTTCCATGTCGGTTGGGGGTGAATAGGGATCTTTTGTTAGAGGAATATAATAGTTTTGAAGATATCTATTTTGTTTTCCACTTAGAAAATCCCTCTTTCTCTTTTGGGGTGTATGTGTTAAGAACCACGCAGGCAGGAGTTAGACATGCTAGAATCATTTCAAGTGTAGGTGTAGTTGTAGAGAATGATGGCCTGGGATAATGTATGGTGGAGAAAGTTAGGAGTGAACATGCTGTATATTGATTTCAACTTGGAATTCTGTAGTGTTTATTACAGGAACAGATGTGTGTGGGTAATCTCTAGGGTGACAGCAAGTATTACCCTGCTTCCTTCCCTGTTCTAGTTTTCCAGCCTAGCCAGCAGATTGTGTTTGGGGACAGACTGTTTTTAGAAACCTCTTATGAAGTCAATATAGTTATACAGGTGAATGTCTGGAGATGCCCAAATGTGCCTTAACTAACACAAATGGTTTTCATTCACAAGTTTAAGTTTTTACTCCATTGTAAAATCTTGCCATAAGGAACATTCCACAAATATCAATTATTTTAATGACTTGACTTTGGTGCTTTTTCATTATGGAGAAATTTCCATTTGTCAAGTAACATCAGTTCACAAGGGACTGTACTCGCCACAATGTTCAACACCATGTTATAGTTAACAAAAAGTGTTTATGGTAAACTTGCTTAATTATATTATTTCATTTATCTATGGTTTTGCTTAATTTTGTTACATACTATATAATACTTTTCATTTTAAATATCTCTTAGTTACAAGTAATTTCTATGTTTTACTTCCTGTTCTTAGATGCAGATGGATGCAGATCATTGAATTCTATTAGAGAAATTATTTAAAGATTACTTCCAGTAGGTGGTTGAAGGAACATGAAATTAATTTTTAAACTTTTATGCCATAGTCTTATTAGAAACGTTTACAAAGCACTGTTGCTGCCTTTTCCCTAGATTAGAGAGAATATTTTTGTCATCTCCCTGTTTTCCTGACCTGTTGAAAAACTTACTGTTTAAGTTATTTGTGGGAATAAGTTTGTCTTCCTGAATTGAAGCTTCTATGTAGAGGATACAACTAATTGTCTTGTTTTATGGTCCAATCTCTGGAAGAAGAGTTCAGAGAGGAGAGGTGACCAAGAACCGGAGTGGGCATCTAGGCGAAGTGCCAGCAGCCTCTCCAATGGCATGACGGGTCCTAGGGCCAATTCTGCACAGTGAGGCTGTGGGACCTCGTGACCTCAGACTTCTGAGGAAAGTGGGCCACTGTGGACTCCATGCACCACTATAATAAGCATACTTTTTCATAAAGTATCTGTTATTTGCCACCATTTTATAGTTTAGAAAATTGTGAGCAATTGGACATGTGCTACATAAATTACAGCTGTATCCTTATACCTATCTTGGGAAACATATTGTAATACCAATTCCACATAGGCATTTCCCTAGTTTTTCAATTAGAAATTATTTTAGATTGTTCTTTAATGTGTATATATATATATATGTGTGTGTGTGTGTGTGTGTGTGTGTGTTTTCATATATGTATTACATATATATGTATGTTTATGCCTTTTCATAAAGTATTCTGTGTATTTTAAATATGAAATGAAA